CAACAGCCATCACTCAAGGGCACGCTCCATTATAGAGCGTGCTTTTGGGATGATGAAGACCAGGTTCTGGGTCATCTTCTTGCACATGCTGGTGTACCTCACATAAGTATTTTTTTAAATTATACTAATAAGTAAATCAACAGACTGATTCATCAAAAACCATAAAGTTTTTCAGACTGAAATATATTTTTAACCATTTCAGGTCATAACAGCATGTGCCATCCTCCCCAACATCTGCCTTGGGGCTGGTGACATTGTGGCCCCAGAGGATGAGCCTGAGCAGGATGTGGCAGAGGATGAGTGGGACGGTCAGTGGTGCTCCCTGGCATGACCAGCTGTCTGCAGAGGTGTCTGCCCTGTAGGAGGTGCCCCCTGACCACCAATACTTTTAACAGGCAAGTAAAAGCTTGGTAAATTCCTATTCATATCCTAACAATTTTGCCTTTTGAAATATGTTGTAGAGATTTATTTTGTCAAAATTGTGAATTAGTATTTTGTGTGCACAGCATATTATTCTTGCCTCTTACTAAAACATCTTGTGACATGGCAGCTGTTGATTGAACCAGCCCTGCAAACCCACTGATGGACGATGTGGTGGACAGTGGAGAGATGCATCCACACCTACAACACACTCTGGAAACCACCCCAGATGATGTCCTGCTGACCAGGGTCTTTACTGTGGCAGCCCTTCCAGGTCCAGCAGTATCACCAGGGTCTCCCTGCTCAGCAGAATAAATGTTGTAAATATGTTGTAAATAGTTATAAAGACCACAGAAAATGTAATAATTTATTTAACAAATATTTTATTTTAATTGATTAATAAATATTATATATATTATTATTTAAGGATTATTTTTAGGCAAGTCTCTCTAGTAGAGAGAACAGCCTCTCCATCCTCTCTCTGCAACCTCATGTCTTCTTTGAGAAGCTGAAGCAGCTCATCCTCTCTGTCCCTCTTTCTCTTTCTTGGCTGGCTCTCCTCCTCCTCCTCTTCTTCCTCCTCCTCCTGGTCACCCACTGCAGTACTTGGCCCTGGTGTGTCCTCCGGGATAGAGGCAATTACGACAAGTGGGGTGGTGGAATGCCTCTGTCCCAACACCTCATCCATGACGACAAACCAGGGCCAAGTTGCAACAGTGGGCTTCCCACCTACACCCTCTCCTGACCCTGGACACTTGCAATCCTAAGGCACAGGAAATCAATCATGGTAAATAACAACAGCAGAAAAACAAATTTCCGCAACAAAAAAAAATATAAAGAATATCTCAATTTGAAATCACACATACATACTTTGGATTTTTTTTTTTTTTTTATTGTCCCACTTTTTTTTGCTTGGAGGGAAGTCACCTTCCCCCACAGGCCCATTTTCTCCAAAATTGTCCTAATCACAGAGAAACAAAAGAAATGGTAATTTTGTGAAGACTGGAAAAGGTGACACAAAAACATAACAAAGGGCTGCCCCATCTACTATTTGTCTTATTGTTAAAGGCTTTGAATAGGATGGGGGCTCATTTAATTGTAACTTTAAGTACACGATGATTAAATGCAGATATTACAAAAGGGCTACTGGGGGGCTCAACTCCACAGCCACAGCCGACGCCATTATTTACGCTGGGACAATCAATCAACTGGCGCGCAATGAATGTCGGGATACCTGGGGCTGTGAAGGATCCAGCTGTTGGATCCCCCAAACGGAGGTAAAGAAGACTGCATTTGTCTGCCACATTTGAAGGAGCCTTTAAAATGGGACAGCCTTGTCGCATCGACTGTGACGTGTTCGGTCTTCAAATACAGCCTTCGAAGGATGCGATCCCTGAATTGAGACACAGCTGTAGTCATTTTTCCACATTGTATTATTATCACAGATTTTATAATAAATGTAAACATTTTGTCCACAGAAACATATTTATAAGTAGTTTTAAAAACATCTTACCAATAGTGCTTTTCCATCGCTGGCACCAGCTCAACTCTCCTCGCCTCTACTCGGCTCGCTTTTGGCCCCGCCGTTCTCTGTTTTCCATTGCAGATAGTACCACCTCAGTGTAGCTGGTCCATTACTGTGTGGTGGCTCAGGTGTATGAGGGGCTGGTCTGGGTGTCAGTGGGGGAACAACAGCAGAAGGCCCAGCTGAGAGAAAAAAGGAAAAGCTAAATAACAAAGATGTCATAATTTTACAAGACTTAAAGCACATACTTGGGCCACAGCATCATCTTCAGAGTAGAGTACAGAAAACATCTTACTGTGTATACAAAGACCACTAAAATATTACTTCACCTGCTAAGTCTTAGAAATTGAAGGAGTACTTCATTATAATATAAAAAACAATTGGTAATATAATAGTGATCAGATTCATGAGGATTTCCAGACCAAGCCTCCCAAGCCCCGCCATAAGGCTTCCTCTTCTCGCTCCCGCCCACCAACAACAACAAGGAGGAGAGTGCCTCCAGCAGCGCCTCAGTATGTAGCCCCACCTCCACCTGCTCCTCTGTGGGAGGACAACCTGAATCTGCGTCTCATTCTTTGATTGGTCCATTTCAAAACCACATGAAAATTTCATACTTAATGTGTCTGATTTGTGAAACCAGGAAGAAGCTTTGTGTCTTCACTAAGCAGAACCTCCAGGTTTGAAAAGTGAAGCCTCAAACCTGCATTCTCTCTAACAGCCAGCACTGTGGCGACTCCAATGGATCGTATATGGTCTCAGTCACTAGTTGTCTTCAACACAGCATGATGTTTAGGACTGACCCCCAATAGTCGAATATTCGCCTTATTCGATTGTCAATCTCACAGTCGAAGCGAAACAAGGATCATGCCATTTTGGCGATATGAGGGTGCTCAACATCTGATTTTACATAGAACTGCCAGTTTTCTCCCAATAAATTATTATACAGCCTATTACAATATACATTTCAACGTTTAATGCTGTAAATAAACATGTAAAACTTTCAAAAAATGTTTTTAAAAGTGCGTGAATAAATCCAAAATTGTAACCCTAACCCCGGGGCCTCAGTAAGCAAGGGTAGGCGTAGCGCACGCGTGTGTGTACAAAAATGTCCTGTGGCAAAATACCATAGAATTTCTGCGGTATTTGTACCTCATGTTCCAGTGGGACTGTACCACATGTTCCTGTAGTGATTTCCTGTAGGACTTGAGAGGTTTGTATGGTATTTTCGGACGTTTACCACAGGATTGTACCTCAAGCTCTGCACACTCAAAAATGGAGGTACGAGACAAGAACATTTCTGTACTTACAGGTACACTTTTCAAGAATGTTGATCTTAAAGAGACCAGAAGTGCACCTTTTGACTACAGAAAGGGTTTTAAAGCGATTTAAAACAAAAATAAGAACAAATCTGTACCCTTTCTGTCTGTCAAAGGACATATGCAATGCAGCCATGAAAAATGTGTGTAGCTCATTTGTAGCTCAAAGTTGGCACCTACATATGAGAAAAACACAAACCCTTCATTTCCAGGAACCTTTATGCATTATTGTTGGCAAATCTTTTTTGGCAGTATATTTGGCCTCTAGATACCCTTGGTGGTAGCAAAAGTAAAGATTTAACGCTACAGTCTACGCTCTCAAGTGATTGGGATATTGACATGTCACTCAGGGGTTGCATGTAAACTGTTAGCTCTGGCTGCGGTTAGCTAGCTAAATTGGTGAGACTGACAGTGCAGTCCAACCATTTATTTTTTTATACAGTCAATGCGTGGTAGTCTAAATCTAACAATCTAAGCAAAATAATATAGTAATATAGTAGTATTATAGTAATATTATATTAAAATGTATTTTGGTAGTATTGTAGTAATACTATAGTAAAGTAAATATAGTAGTATTAAAGTAAAATTATATTATAATTATTTTGGTTTTATATGGTTGGGTTGTTTTCCCCAAGTGGATCAAAGAAAAATTCTGATATGACCACAGTCTAACGTTGTGACCGACATGCTTTACATGTATGTGTATGCTGTGAGAATCATCATCAACAAGCTAAGCCAATCAGAGGCAGAGTAGGGCGGGACATGCCTCTGACGTATTCACTCCCCCCGCCCCAACAGAGTTAACGGTCAGTGTGCCGCTCAAACTCCGAGCGGGACCGAAGATGTCAAGCTTATTTACAGCTACTAGCAATGTCAATGGGTCTGTCGACTAAGGCGCTACTACAAAAGCTGGTGGTGGAAGGAGGCGGCTCAGAAATGTAGAGGTAAGTGGAATGTAAATTTCACATTAATTGTAATTTACTGTACTGGTAACCAACGATCCGAGTTTAGCTAGCTAATATCTGAAGAGCTAACAGGCTGTTAGCCTGGGTATCTACAGCCAATGTTCAGCATTGCATGTCCTTAGATAGCTTGCTAATTTTGTTCTGATATTATACCGTTAGTCACTAATTCACGTTCCGGTAGCAGTACAGTGCTTATTGAATCCGTCTTATAACGTTACGTTATATATCAACAGGTTCAGAAATGCCTTATGCTGCTGACGGTGGGATCATTTAGTCCTAATGACTAACGTTACAGTTTCTGATTTTTATTTGAGTCTTGTTTCATGGCAAGTTTAACAGGGTTCTAAGTCTATTTTAACAGCAGGGCAGTTTACCAGATCAAATTTCACAGGTGATGTTATTTCGCTGATTAAATATCGGAGCACTTTGATGCTGTGACTGGTGGTGCCTCAGCAGTTGGTGGGCAGAAATTGACATGGCCAACTGTGATTGGTACAAAAAAGTCTTATAAAGTCTTAATGTGCATGGCTGCTTTCTGCAGTTCATAAGTTTTCCAGTTTGAATAATGCTGTTAACCAATATCATGCGGTAAATATCTGAACTTTGAAATAACGTTACAATATTAAGTGATACAGCAGCTTCTCTGTCAAGGGGTTTTCAATTAAAGTTTTTATGATTTTTTTTTGTTCTGTTCTGAACCCAATCCATTAATTGTGTCAGTCATTCTCTGTAGTAATCATGCTTTGTATGTCCAAAGTGTCGGTGCTTCTGTGTATTTAATAGCTTTTTATTTACATTTCAGACAATGACGTAGATGGCAAGAGAGTGGATTGCATACCCACAAAGAGTATGATAGGGTATCTCTGACAAGTCTGACCAAAAGCTGTTAAAGTTCAGACTTCACACTCCGCTACAAGGAGGTCACCCTTAATTTGGAAGCAGTCAAGCCAGAACAACAAACATGTGTCCCATACAGAGATAAGAATGTAATAAATGCTCCACTCTTTCACCTTTTCTTTGTTGCAGAGAGCTGTTATTGTCCTAATATGCATCAATGTGGTGGCAAATTAGCTAAGATAAAGTGATTCTTCTGCTATTTTGCAGGTGGGAACCTACTTGCCACAGACTGCCTTGCAGAACCGGTCCAAAAGGAACAACAGTACCGCAACAACATAATGAGGAGTCTATATGAAATGCAGTGTTCAATGTAAGTGTTACTGTTCAAATATAACAAATATGTACAGGCTTTGAGAAAATAATTTTTTTATTCTTGTTGGTAACAACCAGTAAAGAATGGATAACTGAAAGCATGTCAAAAGCAATATTAACTTCTGACCTGCAATCCTGAAGTAGTCACTGGTCTTAACTTGTATTATAGGTTGTTTAATACTGCAAATAAAATTTATTTATTTCCCATCTTTTTCTGTTTTATATCTCAGTTGTATGGTAATTGATGTATTGTAAAGTACCGCATGCACATACCATTTTTTTACTGCCAGAATATTTTTTTCCTCTGAGATTCACTGTCACTTTCTTTCACTCAGAAAATCAAACACTCTGAGACCTCCAGATTAGAGGAGCTGTTCTGGTAACAGCACCTGTCATGTAGACGTCCTGCAGGGTTTTGGCGGGGTCTTAAAGGGTAAAATTTCCAAATTTAAGGCTTAAAGTCTTAAATTCGGTGAAGTTTGTGTTCTAGGTCTTAAATAATTTTAAACGGGTATTTATTTTCCAACGCCCATGTAACGCTACCTCTAATGCTCATTGAAATGCTGCCGCAGCACTCAAGAATGTTTTTTCCTCCCGTGGTGGTGTAGTTCTTTCTGTTGCTAGTCTAAATCGGTCCAAATATAATTCACTGTATTACGACTACAAAGGCCAACAGGCAGCCTTCGTGTTATTGCTGCAAGTCTCTTTCGGATTGTGCCACAGCAACACATTCTCATGTCAATGCGTCATAACCAGGCGGGAAGCCTCCGGTCTACAATATGAAGGCGATGCGGAAGTCCCTGAAACCTGCACTCTATTGAAAATCCAGCAGGGGGAGACTCTTCTGGTCACAAAAAGAAGTCCGGCTCCATTAGAAATAATGGGATAAATTTAACCAGCACCACTGAAAACGCTTATTAGGAGTTGGCTGTTCACTTTCTCTGGTGAGTACATTTAGTTTTAAGACTGTTGTTCGCTAGACAAAGTTATCAGCCCTGTTAAAATGACAGTTAACGTGAGTTACAGATGCACCTAGCTAAGCAAGCTAACTAGCTCCGCACACGGCCATTAGCTCCACCGTATCATCACTTCCGGGCACTTCCTGGTTGCAAAAACTCGACATGGCGGCAACCTATTGGCCAAACTCGAGGCTTCAAAACAGCAGTCCACAAACCAACAGGTGACGTCACGATGACTACGTCCATTTCTTATATACAGTCTATGTTCATAACTGACGCTTTTAGACAGCGTGACAAAGCTTAAGGATTTTACGCTAAAGGTACCCTTCAACGTCTGTATGAAACGCCCCCGTCTGCTACGTTGCCGCAACACAAGGGAGGCTAACCCTACCCTAACCCACTTCAGGTCTGTACAGGTCCTGCGTGTGAAACAAATGAAAGGAGGTGGTTCTCATGTTGCCTATTTTTTGTTCATTTCTACAAATGTATAAAGTAGTAAATTAAGACACAAAGGGCAAACATGAACAGTCCTATCTGTAATGATTCTGAGGCCATTCACAGTGTTTTCCAGCCTTTATAAGGTGGTGAACCTCAAACTGCTCTGTGCTGCACCATGATTGTAAAATCATTGTGGAGAGCATCAAAACTAATCGCATGAATTTTCCCGAATCTAATGGTTATAATTCAAACCTTCTTTAGCAAGTAAAGCTTTTGGGGTGTGGTTTATTCAAAATCTGCTCTAGATTTTCCTACTTATTATTCACAGATGTGGTAACAACAAGGTCCTAAAATGATGTGGAATTGCAAATTGGAAAACATAAAAATTTTCTTGGCATGACCAAACCCCAACACATAATACCATCTTAATTTTTTACATTATACCACCCTGTGAAAGCGCGTTTTAATCCCCATTTTGAAAATGTACCTGCTTTGCACCTGCCTCTACTTCTCTTCTTTCTGCACTCACTCACAGAACTCGTTATTTTTCTGGATATATATATTTCCACCCGTGATCCTTTTTCACGGCAGCAGGTACACCGCATGCCAGCTTGTTAATTACGTAGCTTATTAATGTCATCGTCCATCCCGGTGTTTCATTGTTGACATCATCCAATGCCAAATTTGTAGATATCACTCAACCCGAATTTGAACCCAGTCATTTTGTGACTGCATTTCCTTTGTACGTTTCTTTTTTTGACGTTGTGATATGGTTCTTAAATTTCATTCATAATGGTCTTAAAAAAGTCTTAAATTTGACCAGGTTAAACCTGCAGAAACCCTGATAGTGTTCCACTACCTGGTCTACCTGGCTTAACAATTTACATAGTGTGGAACTTCTTATTTTAAACAATCTTTATTAGCTATCTTTATTTGCTTGTGATTCCATTTAACTCCACATTTAAAGCTCCCCTTTATATTTAAGCAAAAGTGCTGCTTATGGAATAAAATTATGCATAGTCGCTTTTTCCACAAAACACAGTAAGGTAAGTAGTAAAAGGAAATTTTATTTAGCTCAAGAGATTCAAGTTATTATCACTTAACACCAAAAAATCTCATTAAGAATCTGGAAATAGAGATTGTTCAACATTATTGCAAAAAATAATGAAAACAAATTGATTATCAAAATTGTTGCTTGTTAATTATCTGAAGCAGTCAATTACTTTGTCTATTCAGCTTTATGCAAGATGTGCCTTATTTTGTGTCTGTTAAATGTAGAAATGACAGAAGATGTTTAAGGTTTTGATACTAATTGATTTGTAATAATTGTAGTTGTATTCATATTTTTCAGGACTACTATCTGAAAATGGGCATTTTTTAAATTTCAAGTTGACAGTAGTAATTTTGTTGAGTGAGTTTCCATTAGTATTTGAGTCTAGCACAATACACTTGTTTGAGTAGATTTCCCTCAGAGTATAAGTTGTGCACAATTACATTTATTGAGTAAAGAATTTGTGGAATCTAATTCTAATAAGCACCAGTGAATCAATGTAATTTAGTATGCAGAAATTAAATAATAATAAAAATTATCATATTTAAGTTAAGGTTTACTCAAAAATATTGTTACCACTACTATAAAAGTTTTGAGGTAATCAGTTTCCACAAAACAATTTGAGTATTCTGAACTTATTTGGGTTTACAGTGTGGTAGACCTACTATAGGTTGTGTTACTAGTCCGGTCCGCTGCGGTCGATGATCATTCCCTCTGGCTGAATGACCAGCCAGACCACCTGATTTTTGGCATGATCCACGATGATACAGAAAAATAGAAATGAATGGCTGCAGCGCTACTGCGGCTAGAGTCTCTCTGCAGTGCCATCCAACTTTCTAAATTCTTTCATCTCACAGAGAAAATAACGGTCAGAGTATCTTGAGGCCAAAGGTTTTTTTTCCATCCAAGTAGTTGTTGTATGTGGATAGACAACGCATTTGTGTCCGTGTTTTCATGTTGTCCCTGACCACCTCCAGAAGTTGTTTTGCTGATCGGATCACAATGTGTCCTCAATATATCTCAGGTGCACTTACACATGTAGCCTACTTTCATGTGGTCAAGTGCTACCCAATCACAATCTGATCTAATGCGAGGTGTAAACAGCCTCTATGTTCCCCGATTTGGAATATGCAAAGTCATTCACCATGGTGAAAATAAAACTGCCAAATATGGCATTGCCTCATTCATTAAAAGTGATCTAACGACATCTCTTTTCTATCAAAGAATTGTTTCCAAATTTTTGGGGTCTTAAATTTATATTTCTGACGTCTTAAAAAGCAGGGATGGATTGCCATAATGTGGGACACCTAAGGTCTTGTGTTTGTAGGTCCCCCATAAATACGTGAATGCCAATGAAACTATTGGTTAGCCAAAGCTATGGTGCCATGTGATCAAAATCACATGACCTCTCAAATGTCCATTCACATATGAGGGTGGAGCAATCATCAAACAGGAGGCATCTTGTGTAAAGACCACCCAATTGTCAGTGACAGAGTTTTGACAAACTTTACATTAGCCTACTAAGACCTGAGCTTTGATTCTGTGTGCATTTTTAATTTCTCTTGGCTATTTGGGATAAGTAGGACCTAATAAGTATAATAAACTAAACATTGACTTTGAACAGGAAGTACTTTTTGAAAAAAACAATGTCCTCGTATGGGGACATTGGGTCTATTTTACTACAAAACACAATAAAGTCACCAATGTGTAATAAAGTAGAAAATTGTTTATTTCAACTGAAACATGTTTCTCATCACAAAAGAACACGGCTGTGCAAAACAGCATTGCAAACAGTGTGAGTGTGAATATGTATGTGTGTGTGCGTTTTCTGATTTGCGGGTAAGGCACACGACATTCAAATTGATGCAAAAAAAATGATACATTTCATTAACTGTATTGTTGAGGACCAATTGCCTTCTAGTGGTGGGGCAGATAACTGTCTAGCACAGGTGCCTGTAAGTACTGCCTCCTCAGTCACTGTTCCTGAGAGAACCTTGCGGGGGGGCTGGAGCCAATCTCAGCTGACATCGGGCGCAAGGCGGGGTACACCCTGGACAGGTCGCCAATCCACAGAGTGATCCCTCCCTGGTGAAATATTTTGCTGCAGCTGGGTGTGATGCTAGTGAGCAAGCAAGTCAGCAGCATTTTCTCGTTGAGGATGAAGTGTTAATGCGCAAGTGATGACATGAACACTTGTGGTCGGGTCACCTAGGCGTCACCAAGACTTACAATCGTGTGCTTAGACATTTTTTCTGGCCAGGCATGAAGGCCGATGTAGCGCGCTACTGCAGAACTTGCAGTACATGCCAGATCGTAGGGAAACCAAATCAGATCGTGCCACCTGCCCCACTGCATCCAGTTCCTGCTGTTGGTGAACCATTTGAGCATGTCATTGTGGATTGTGGTGGTCCCTTGCCTAGAACTAAGTCAGGGAACCAGTTTCTGCTAACTGTGATGTGCGTGTCCACCCGTTTTCCTGAGGCTGTGCCCTTAAGAAAAATTACCGCTCCCGCCATCATGAAAGCTCACAAAATTCTTCACCACCTTTTGACTGCCGAAAGTTGTACAAACTGACCAAGGTACCAATTTCCTGTCCAATACTTTCCGTCAGACGTTGCAAGCACTGCGAATTTCACACTCCGTTTCGAGCGCTTACCACCCGGAATCACAAGGTGCGCTTGAGCGTTGGCACCAGACGCTCAAGTCCACGTTGAAGAAATTCTGCTATGACACAGGAAGAGACTGGGATGAGGGTGTGCTG